GATTCTCTTCATTCCCCTCTCCCTTTGGGGAAGCACTACCTTCCCTTCTAAGACCAAGTCAGTACCTCTCCTCAGAGTTTGACTTCACTGTTATCAAAGCACTGATTATGCTGACTGTGATCTCTGGTCACCAAGGCTCTGATCTTTCCTTTCAATCTCTTTTCTCTCTATTGTTCTCAGTGGATTATTTCTCTTGACCTATGTTCAACTTCCCTGATTCTTTCCTTTGTTATTACAATTCTTCAGTTCATTCCATTCAATGAGGGTTTTTTTGTATTATACTTTATAGTCCTTTGTCAGTTTTTGTTCTTTATATCTCATATTTTTTGTTGAATTTTTTCAAACTTTCTCCTCATTCAGAGAGTGTTCATGATATTTGCTGGAGCATTTTACCAGCTACTTCCAAGTCTTTATCTTTGAGATCAGGAGCTCTGTCTAATTAACCATCTTCATATGTCGATGGTTGAATGTGTTGCTTGGTATATATTATATGCTCAAGTATTTGTTGAACGAAAATGTGCGTAAATACATACTCACTTACTTTAATGAATGTAAGCTGCACAATATGTATGAAATATCCAATCCAGAGGGAGGACTCAGTTTAAACTCAGCTCTTTTGGAAATGCACTGAGCGTTAGTATAGCACATGTTTTACAGCAATGTAGACATTTTCTTTAATTTTTTCTTCAGATTTATGTAGCATCTTTCTTTTGGACACCTTCAGTTTCTCCCTCCAGAGCCCATGTTCATCTGTACACTATGTCTCTAAGGCTGCAGAGCAGAGGGTGCCCTAACAGCGAGGTCCCTCTGCTGTTACATTATATTATAAATGGTACTGCTTTCATTCTTATTTAATATCTGAGGGAGGTGAGTGTTTAAAAGAGGTTAAGTAAGTTGTGGTCACATTGTTGGTAAACAGCAAACAAGGACTTGGACCTTGGCCTGATCCAGTCTCTCTCTTACCAGCTAAATGGAAACTAAGTCTTTGAAAGGTAATCTGCTCTGTAAAAGGACAGGAAAGCAACATCCTAATTTCAGACAATTTTTATTTTTATTTATAGAGGTATTTTATAAATGCTCTGTGAAAATATATGTTAACTCTGCTATGACTAAACCCCCCAATGTATTTATTCTCTACACCAGGGAGAAAAAAAATTACGTTTATAAATTTGAACATAATTATTACAAAAAAATTGCCAGGCACTGGGAGTCTGGTTGTTCTACTGTGAAAGGCAACTACATATTAATTTTCCTCAGCTCTTATATCTTGATGATAGTTGGTGATAAGTGCATCCTGGATTGGCTCCCTGGGGTCCCACACCACAAAGGTGAAATTCAGTTGAACTAAAGGTGCTTATTAAATTCAAACATGTTTTAATTCATTGATTCTCCATTAATTACTTTTTTAAAGACCATGTATCAATTTGTTTTTATCCTGATTATAGCAGTTTTAATATTACCTGATTTGCTGATCCTGGTACTAGATTTGCTACTTGTTCTTTCCTGTTCAAATATATTTCTGATTCACAGAGCTTCTAAGGGACTACTATTTTTATGGTCATAAAGCCTTGTGTTTGTGTAGTAATTTTGTTTTCTAACCATTTTCAGAGGTTATTTTATTATATCCCAACAAGTACTCTGTGAGGTAGGTAAGGCCAATATTTAGAGCCTAGTTTTATACATGAGGAAACAGGCAAATAGAGGCTGAGTAACTTGGAAAGTTCACTGGCATAACTAGTACCAAACTTAGGGACGGAAAACTGGCCTTCATATGCAGGCCAACATGCTAGGCATTTGAAAGAGCTACATATAATGCCCACTTTTGCTAAACACGGAATGAAATGAGAGGCAAATCCACTTGCCTAACATTTAACCAATAACCACTCATTGAGTTTTGGTGATATCAGGAGGAGTAAATAAAGTTTCCAACAGACTAACCATTAGAAAAGTTATGTAATGAAATCTTATAAATGGATTCACTGCTCTGTCTTATCATGAGGAGTTTTTGTTAGGAGCACCACACCAAATATTAAGATTTGTGAGCTTCGGGCACAAATTTACAAAGGTAAGTCTGGGCTCACTCATCCACTCCAACTAGTTCAAAAGCATGGATTAATGTAAAAGAGAAAGTGAACTTATAAGAGGAATTAGTGCAAATACACTAAAAATCCAAACTAGCATTTAGGTAGCCTAGACTTCTATACTCTCTTATCTACACCATGGCAGAGCTTTTATGAACATATTTTTGACAGCCACTCAGGAATTCTCTGGGCCAGTGGTTCCCATGGTAGAGGGTGGGAGTGAGTTCTAGAAGGGGAGGGAGGCCAGAAAAAGGGACCACCCTACTGGGGAGTGTTTTGGAAATTCGTGGGGCCTTTTTTTTTTGTAGTTCTTCTAGTGTATAACCTTAAGATTTACATACTAAAAAACAGTTTTAAAATTATAAATCACATTTCATATGTCTAGTGTATTAGGTTTTTAGGTCAATTTTTTAAAATTACATATATAGGAAAATATATTATCTACGAATTTCATTAAAGGATAGTAAAGGAAACATCCAAAATATCTGTGATATAAATGGGAAACTGGCTCTAGGGCACTGCTCTAGATCAGGGTTCTCAAAGTGTGGTCTGTTGATCAGTAGGATCAGCATCACCCGGGAACTTGTTGAAAATACAAATTCTTATTACTCCAGACTTACTGAATATGAAACTCTAGGGGTGTGGCCCAGCAATCTGCATTTTACCAAGGTTTCCAGGAGACTGATTCTCAAGTTTGAGAACCACTGCTTAGACTAATGGTGCCTGTAGTCACATTATTGTTAAAGGGACATGGAGGTTACATTTTCTGAAATGTAGTTTTCTGGCTTTTACACCCATGTGATGCTAATGGTTTCTTGGAATCTTTGATCTCGAAAGCAAAGTCATCATCTGGTTAACCACCCTAGGGAAGCGGGTGGGCCAGCACTGAGGGCTGCCTGCACTTTCTGTCACCTCACACCCCTCCAGCGCTTACATTTTAAAAATCTCTGCCTCAGCACAGGTCTTCTGTGTGCTAAACTGTTTTTACTTTATCTGCTGAGATTTTGCAGGTCTGGAGGTCACAATGAGTTGGGATGACATTATTGCTTTTAAAAATTATTTACAAATTCACCCAATATTTAGGGGGAGACCCTGAGAAACATTAAGAAATTATAGTATTTCTGCCCCAAATTGGCAAAGAACTGTGCTGGGTTAAAATAAACATTACTAAAGAGTAAAGAGATTTGGAGTGAGAGGCATTGGGGATAGGGAGAGGGAAGAAAGACAGAAAGAGAAACAGAGAGGGAGGGAGGGTGAGAGAAACATTCGGAGATAAACTCAATTAGGGAGAGATGCACAAAGGGGTCTTCTGCTTGGGAGCAGACACACACGCACACACACACACACTCACTGTGAAATAGTAACACTGTTGGTTAACCTTGCGTCAGGGTGCCTGTTGAGAGCTGTACCTTAGGTCTTCCATGGATGACAGAAATTTGCAACAGATAAGTAAATTAAGGGCTTGAGTTTGATATTTAAATGAAGCCCTCAGACTTCTAGACTTTGCTAGTAACAACATATTCTGTATTACCTGAAACTGTTTTTATTAATTAAATGTGTAGCTTAATGTTGTTTTTAGAAGCAGTTATGAAAAACTATGGGGTTTTATTTTTTAAAATAGTGGATATTGGAAAATGTGACCAAAACTAAACGTCAGAATATTTCCATAAGTTTTGAGTGAATACATTCTAGAGTATTGATGTAAATTAAAATTTGAAAAAGTAAAATGACTTTGATAAATCTTTTCTCCTTTAAAAGATCACATTTGTACAAAAACTAAAAAAAGTTTTATGACAGAGCAATCACATTATCTTTTAAAGTAATGGAAGAAAATCAGAATTGTCTTATAAACACCTATGAAGAGTTACAATGACAAATATATTTCTGTCTAAAACAGTGGACAGCACTGTACCATTTAAACGGGACACACCCTAAATTAAGGTTCTTTAAAAAGCCATGAACAGAGATACATGAAGACAGTCTCTCTACTTTTTAAAACTTTATCACTTTATGCCTATATTTTCTGGAAAAATACTATTTTTGATAATATAGCAGATCACTACCAAAAGACCTACATCACTTTACAACAAATAACTTAGATATTTTGTCAGTTCCGTATCTAAAACTTTAATGATTTTCTGGATGAAAAGTACCAATCATAAAAATTACCCTTTGCAAAGTCTGCAGTTTTCCCTTGTTACACCATACTGTAAACGCCTCTTGTTAAAGGCTGACAATAAGGTGACACATGACTGCCACCATGTGGGCAGTTAAGATGATACAGATTTCAAAATCAAATAAACCTTCAATTTAATGAGAATTACCATATTCTGAAATGCAATGGAAACGATGATAAATAAGGACGTGTGGTACTCTTTGAGCTACATTATTCTATATCCATTAATGTGGTGTTCATTTTTGGCACAAGTAGTTGGACACCGATACTGATAATATCAACTAGCAAAAGGCCATTTATGGAAATTATCTACAACCTTGCTACTCCAAGTATGTTCCATAGGCTAGTGGCATCTGTAATTACTTGGGAGCCTATTGGAGACGCAAAATCAGGCCCCACCTGAGACACCTGGAATCCAAATCAGCATTTTAACAAGATGCTGTGGATTTCCGTACACACCCAAGGCCAAGATGTCTTCATCTACAGCTGGTGCCTACTGTCTGGACCCTCACCCTTTACTGTACTTCCCACTCAATGTAGGGGCAGGTAACTTTTACCAAAAAGTCCAGATCGTTAAGAAAAGTACAGTTTGTTTTACGTGAATTACCTGATTAGCTTGACTTTCCCTTTGCAGATGTAGAAATCTATTTTCTCTATTATTTGCTGAGGTTAAACTACTGGATTAATTCCACAATTCAGAGAAAAACATTAAAACAAATTTTCCAGAAAAAAGGGCTTATTAATTTCAGGAGAGATTAGAATATTTTATTTTGCCCAATCAGAGCCCTTCAGCATAAAGAGACATTCATATACATATATATGAACATTTTCCAGAAACATTAATTTATAATACATTATTTTAAAATACCAGCTTAACGGTATTTATTTACAAAAATATTTCATTACCTAATTTAAACCTTTTGCTGTGATGACAGTTGTAAAGTACAGGAATGCAAAATAACTACAAAGTTTTAACACGTTTTTAGTGTTTGCAATAGTGCCTTTTTGTTTTAAATGAAACAGTACACAGAGATGGGTTTTTAAATCATATTTAAAATGCATATTCCAGCAATCACCTTTGAGATAGTTACTGGACTGAGCAAGATTAAAAAAAAAAAAGTGCAGCAACTGAAAACTACCTGCATGTACAGTTTGAGGTGTACACAAGCTTGAGCTCTATACCAACCATGCTTTGCCCCTGAAGTGGACAATGTTAGAAAAGCTTGATCTTGCTCTTTTTAATATTGGTTTTGGTGTTGCATTTACAATGAACCAATAGTATAACTGGAAAGCAAAATGTTTTTCTGGTTCTAACTACCACGTTAAGCAGAGGTCACACCTAAAGTATCACAGTACCATTTATTTACACAAAAATTTTTTTTAAATTTAAAACATGATTTACCCTCTTTGCATTGCTCTCTATTGATACGTTAAATCTGTTTCCACCTCCTTACGTTGTCCTCAGTTGAAGAAAATTTAAACAACACAAAACACATTGCAAAAGTATAAACCCCCCCCAAACTCCCAAATAAATAGGATTCCATTGTCATTAGCCTATATCCATTTTAAATGCCTGAGCCAAACAACCTACAATAAATTAATACTGATTTATTTACAACTCATACAGTATAAAATTTTAAACTATAAGCCTTATTGTGAAATGTTGGCAGAACAGAGTCACGATTTTTCTGATGCAAAGAGTGCGATGAAAAGAGCAATTTAATTACACGTAGCCCTGGACTACTGTACTCAATTTGTAAAGGAATTGTGCCTAATAATTTAAGACTGTGTGAGGAACTGAAGAAAGCAATGTTATAACCCTGATAATTGGGAAGTTATTAAAACCATTTAATTCAGCTGAGAAAGGTAAGCGAAAGTTTCCCCTCTGATTTTTGTCGGGGTTGTTACAACTATTTTCTGTCCACAGAAGCTTTAAAACTTCTGTGGTAACAGTAAGATCATTAAGAGTCACAGGAAAAATCATCCCCATAGCACTTTACAAGAAATTGATCAGAGTGATGAAAAGTATAATTAACAAAAGCTGTAAACAGTATCTTCACATTCATTTTCAAATAAAAAAAAAAAATTGGGGGGCATAAATTTCAATTCAAGAGAACAAACACCCTAAAAGGGAAAAGAAAAAAAGGAGGACACTTAAGATAGAGAAGTGCTCTTTTTCAAAGTAAATACAGATTAAAAAGTCTAGGAATATTTGATCAAGTATCAAACTGATAAGGAACAAACTCTATAAACTACAAAATAAAAACCGTCATTGACAAAAATACATAAACTCTGTTTTCATTTTTGGAAATTTATTTTTAAAAAAGGTAGAAGAAAATATCTGGAAAACTATTTTAAATATATATATATTTTAAAACAATAATTAAGGTAGGCATCCAACAGCAAGCTGCCGCTATTGAGAAAGATCTTGTGATTATTGTTGTGGGCATTTTCCCCAAAATAAAATTAATATTTGAAAATGCTCAATAGAGGGTTTCTTTTAAACCATAGTAATGATATCTTTCCTGTCATGTGTGAAGACTTTTGAACGATGTATGATTCTTTAAAATTAATTGTATCTCGATATGAGATACCAATATTTCTTATTATAAGCGTAAAACATAACTTTTTGTATGGATAATATACATACTTTTTAAGTACTTTGACTTAAACTTAACAAGTTCACCATTTTTAAAATTAAAGAGTACATTTATAAAAATTCCATTTTAAAACTAAAAGTATATTCTCTAGCAGTATGTATAAATATAACACGTTACTGTATGATCTTAAAACAAATCTGAAAGTGTTGCAATAATTTAAGACCTAGAACGCTGAAACAAACAGCAAATGATTTTACTATTTTTTTATCCTTCAAAACTATATAAAACCTTATTGAAGGTTTTAAAACTATGATCATTTAAGGTGCAGCTAGCAGCATATTCACAATTTTGGTATGTTTTATACATATGTATCACTTGATTTGAACGGAGAAATGTGAATTAAATGATAATAAAAAGTTTTCATTACCTAAAAAAGTGCAGAAAAAATTCAAGTTTGAAGTTCAGTGCTCTTTATTTTGGAAAAACAAATAAACAAAATCCCAAAAGTTAAAATGTAAAATAAATCTTTGCCACAAAAAATTTACCTTTGGATATAGCTTTTCTAATGTCACATGAAAAAATGCCTTAAGTAAAACATATATGGAATACAGAACTCAGGGTAAAACTTTGAAGTCCATGGTATCTTTCACATATTTTTCCTTTCCTCAGCTGTTTTCTCACCACCCCCTGTAACCTAAAAGTATTTAACACTTTCAGACTTGTTTAAAACACATATCTACATGAAATAACTTCAGAGAAGCCTACAATTAAAAAGTTCTAAGCAAAAGAAAATGCTTCTTTCTTTAAAGTACTGTACTTAAATTGTAATACAGTACACATAATAACATAGACAATTAGCAGCACTTTTTCCCATCCATAAAAAAATCAAATTAAGAAGTTAGCAATAGCTCAGTTATATCCATAACCATTTTTGGAAACACCTTGTACAACTGAAATGCAAACCAAGGGAATTAAGATAATTGAAAACTTCAAATGGTGTAATATACAGAAGTGGTCAGAATATAAGGTTTCAAATAACGTTCTAAGCAAATACATATGGATTTCAGTTTGAAGAGTGAAATGAACCAGATATGTGGTACATATAGGGAAACCACTTCCTACTGACAAACTGCTAATCAGTGAATACGTCAATGATTTGAGAGTCAAGGACACAGGCAACAAAGAATAATGTTTGAAGATATGGAGGAAGCACACAAAAATCTTTCACTTTTCTAATATTTTCTATTTTGACTATTTTTTTAAAATTTTTGGTTTGTTTTCCTGAAATCTTGGCTTGCTGGTGACTGCAACTTTTTGCGTTAGAAAAAAAATAAGAGATGTTACCTCTCAAATTACAATAAATTCCCTGGGTTAGTTTATTACTGCAGACTGTCTCTTATCTACAGACTGAATCAAGTATAACTCTGAGAAGCTTATTTCCTATTTTCAAAAATACTTCAAGCTTTCTAATCCTAAGTGAGTTTCTAGTTTGCTGTGCATAATTTGTAGATTAATTTAAAAATGAAATAAAATAACTTGAAATACTGATTTAAGATTTTCTTATAAAACCCATCTCAGGTAAATGTATCTAACTTCTCTATTTGAAAATAATTACAAGATTGGTTCATTTTATATACAACAGGAAAAATGACAGTTGATATAAAAATTAAGTTGATATACAATTAACACGAAATAACACAGCAAATTAAATAATTGGAGCTAATATGCCCTTACACATGAATGGGGAATCAACCAGTATATTACTTTACTTAGTGCTTCTCAACTTCAAATCCATTAACTACTGATTTTATTGATGACATTCACAAAACTGTACCTTTAAAAAACGGCTTAATACTTCCTGTGACATATCATGGAACAATGGGTTTATTAGATAATATATGATACAAATTAAACAATTTGTAAACTGCTACATGTTCATCATATAGCTGACATTAACTAACAGAAATGTTACTCATAGATACTTTCTACAAAGTCAAAAACTTTTGAGAATGACTATTTTAAAAATATTTCTTTTGGCTTGATCAGTTATCTCCATCACATATATTTAATCCCTCCCTAATGATATTTAAACTAAATTTTAATGTAAACTTTCATATCCCATAGTGCACGTTATAAAATGTAAACATAAGAGCTTTATTAATGAAAAGGGGAAAGGAAAAATGCATAACAGACTGTGAAATTAAGGTGTTCTACAATATACCTTTAATGATCATATGGAATAGAAAAACAACCATCATGTTTGCTATCAATTTGTGCTCTGATTATCTCTTAATGACAAAAGAAAACTGTTTTAAACTATTTTTTATAGAAGAAAATATTTAAATTTCATTAATACTAAGTATAATCTTCTATATTATTCGTCCTTTGTTGCTTTAAGAACAATCAGTAATAATCTCAGATGAGCCTGCAGAATGAGCTTACCTACTTCAGATCTACCCCGTCATCTCTTTTCTGTCTGTGTGCTATTCTAGGGACCAATCATTTATTGTCCACTGATGGCCTCATCTGCTTTATACTCCAATACAGGAATAATTTAGTTACCAAAATGCACATATTTTCCTTTCCTTTTGGCTTTTTAAAACCTTGAAAGGACATGAACAGTTTTACAGTATATTTCTACAGAAAATACTTTGTACGTCATCAGACTAGACTCTTACATAGATAATTATTGACAAAGGATGCTTGTGATTTTTTCCATGCGACAGCATGTGCACTAAGATTTAACTGGCTCATCACCTGAGTGTACTGGAACTGTTAGCAAGTAAAGGGCATATTAAAAAGGGAGCTGAACATTTTACTGAAATAATGAAACATTTTTTTAAGCAATTTTAATTAAGTAATGCAAAGGTACATTAGGTTAAACATTTTATAAAAATTCAAGCAAAATTAAAAACTTAGCCAATTTCAACATTTCTACAAATTTAACCAGTAACTATTTTGGTCAAATCCACATTTAGCTGAATTAATGAGAACAAGGACAAGGGACATTGAAGTATTCTCCTCACCACAATGGAGGTTTTTCTCACTTTCCACACTGCATAGCCATCACATGGAAACTCCCAGAATGATGAGCAGTTCAGTCATGCTCTACACTTTTCTTTTCAATGAAAAGTGATGTATCGCCTTGTTTTGCTTTTGACAAAATATGGACTAAACACAAGTATACAATAACAAGAATCCAAGAGTAGCCCATACACAAGTCAACTATGTGTATGTTTTTATTATTTAAAGCCCACCATTCAGCTTATCTGTCTAAAGATATGGTAATAAACAGTTTGTTTCTTTTTCACTAATGATACTGGTGACCAGTCAGTTGAAGGGAGGGAAAGTCCAAGACAGCCGTTTATAAGTCAGTCAGTGACACAAATATAACTGTTTCAGCTTCAGGACTTCTGACTTATTGCCTCTCCCTCAAAGAGGTCAAACAACGATGGCAGATAACGACAGCACAGAATCTTTCGGCACGTGAAAGTTTTATACAGGACTGACCCAGGAAAAGTCCCTGCTATGTCCCCTCAACATCCCTCTGTTTCTTCATTTGTAACATGTGACCATCCTAGTTCCCAAACCGTCAACTCGTAGCTGGCCCACAGCATATACTCCACGTTGAGTGTGTGTGAACACTCCTCAGTTAAAGCCGCATGACTGAGGTCAAACATTGCATGATTGTGCTAGGAAAGAGCAGTATCCAGTGATGAACATCTCTTTAATGTTAACTTTCCTAAAGTGAAATCAATAAAGTAAAATAGGAAAATTCTTTTTCCTTCTGGCTAAAGTTGGACTTAGTTGGATTTCTGGTTGTCAGAACTGGTACCACTTCTTATCTTTGTATTTCAACATCATCTAAAGTGGAGAAAACACAAAAAACACATTTTAAAAATGCCAGAATAACAACACTTACAACTGGTTGCTATACTTTTCTAAAACATGATATCATTCTGAAACATCCTCTCATTTTTATATTTAGTATTTATATGGAAAGCAGGAAGCAGGAACTGTTCCGTTTCAAGGAAAAAGGAATGTAACTATGAAGAACTAGCCTAGAAGGTCCTCACATTTCCTAAAGACAAGACATAAGTAAATTTTGGCTCAGTGCATTCTTTGGTGACCTAAGCTAATAACTTAAAAAATAAGGTAACTTTCAGTTCTCTAAAGTGAATTAAAAATAATACTTAAAGAACCTGGAGAATGAAAGGCTGAAATGACTACTGCTGCCATCTACAGTTTACTGAGCACTTAACTCTGGGCCAGGCACTGTATAACATACTTTCTCTACATGATTTCACTTGGTCCTCACAATAACTCTATCTGTTAGGCATTATTAAAGTCTCCCTATTTTACCAGTGAAGAAACTGAGGCTTATAGGGGTTAACCGCAGTAACACAATGGTGAAACTGGGATTTGAACCCATGGAGTCTAATTCAAAAACCCATGATCTTAACCACCTCAACGTACTGTCTTCCTTAGACTCTCACATATGGCTCAGGAACGTCTGGTAGAAGGGAAGAGCGAACAGCTAGGGATTGAGCTCTTTGCTAAATATTTTGACTGTAGATATATCTGAGGTTAACTGAACTGTTATATGCCTTAGAGATCACAGTCAGGGTCACGGTTATGCCAACAAAAGGCCTGACCTAGATTTAAGGCACTTGCCTGTATCTGAGGTGTGTTGGCCTAGTACAAAGACTCACGAAAGATCTCTGAATCTCTCTGAAAGCCTGGACAATTCTCTCCCAAGTCAAGTTACCTCTCATACATTCCAGTTGTCAACATTATTGAGCAAGGAGGAGATGACTTTTGACTGAAAAGTTTAAAGAAGAGCTATTACTGACAGAGTGGGTACTCAAATATAAAAATAACCTTAATATGGCTTCTTCAGATAATACACTCAAAATGCCTTTGAGGGCTAGGCTAGGAACTAAATGTGTGAAGTAGCCCAGTATAAAGCATCAAGGAGTGGCAGAACTGTATGTCGAAATGAAGAACGTGTATTCCACCTGACGGCTTTTAAATTCAGTTTTTCAAGCGTACTATTCTGGCTAACAAAGTGTATTTGTAAGAAGGTTAGGGATCCCCTACTTTAGAGCATCTGTTTTTAAGCTCCACCACAACTTCCTAGTTCATCAAGATGAATTCGTTGCAAAAATGCACATTACTCCTCTGTGTGAACTGGTCTACAGACAGATTTAGTATTGTTTCAATTGAATAAAAACATTGGCCAATTTCAGTTATTTAACTCTACCTAAAGATCAAGAGGCAAATTATTTCCTTCTCTAGAAGTTAGTAGTAGAATCTGAGGCATTTAGGAAAATTAGCTTTGTTGTTGTTATTGTAACCCCTAAGAAACTGTTTGCAAAGCCACTGGCTTTGTTTACAAAAAGGCTGAAGGTGAGCAGGTACCTTCAAAATTTATAAACTACAGTAAGAGACCAAAGGCTATTGCGACATATTCTTGTAATGGTTCCCGCTGGCGGCAAAAATTAGGAATTTGCAACCATACTGAGGATACATGAAAATTCATGTGTAGAAATACAACAGCTATAAAAATACAGTAATTTTCATACTTGCTTTACCTAGGCTTTTTGGCTTAAATATTTGACAGACGTACCTCGTGAGCATGTTTAGAAAATGAATCTGCACTGGATAACATAGCTGCAGTTCTTTCTTCCAGGTCACTAAGTTTCTGCCCTCTTTCATCTAGTGCCAACCTGGCTCGTGCTAATTCACCAACAACTCCAGATGCTGCTCCTTTCACGCCTTCGATGCCACCAGGGCCAGGGATATGCTGAGCAAGACTTCTTGAAGCCTTTCCCGAGGATGATTCTCCAACTGAACGATTTGATAAATGAAAGAGTAACCCAGAAAATGAAAATTTTTTAATAATAAAATCCTACTACCTGATAGCATTAAAACACACTTGATTGACAATATAATTGAAGTATTTATTTTACTATATAATTATTACTTTTTAATTATGATTGTTTTAATAATTTGTAGATACTTTTCAAACATACAAAAACACAACGTACATTAATAAATATTCTACTCTATACTAGTTCATATAATAGAACTTGAGCAAAAAAGTGACTGCTAATTATTTGTTGAAATGAATAATGGGTATACTGATACCACTTTAATAACAGTAAAAAAATCACTCTTAAGTGTCCAAAAAATTAAAGATAAATTAACTTAAAAATATTTAAATTCAAAGACATAGGTTTAAATATACATATTTATTTTAGTTTATTTATACCACACTTTCTCTTACTTGAAATACTATGCTTAGGCTTAGAAGGAAAATGTAGAATTTATTCAGTATTTCTTTTCAGTCTCCAAAAGTTGTAGATAACCACATCCCTTTCTTTCTATCCATTTATCTTGTCACTTACCAAATAGATCAACTTCTTCTTTCAAAAGATCTCAGGAATTCATTGCTTCCTTTCCATTTATAACCTAGACCCTCATCACCTAAACCTAGATAACTGCAAAAGTCTTAAAATACGTTAAAGACTGATGTCAGATTCCCTCTTTCTTCAGCATACATTTCTTTCTTTAGAAATGTAACTCATACCATAAAATTTGGCCTTGAACAATTCAGTAAATTTTAGTTTATTCAGAAGGTTGTACAACTACCATCACTAATTCTCAAGCATTTTAATTACTCAAACACAAAACAAAACACCCAAACAAACCCATGATTATTAGCTGTCACTTTCCATTTCCTCCACTTCTCAGTCCTTGGCAATCAATAATCCACTCTCTGTCTCCATAAATTTTCCTGTTCTGAACATTTCATACAAATGATTCACACACTGCGTGGGTTTGTGTCTGGCTTCTTTCACTTACTGTCAAGATTCAACCATATTGTAGCATGTATCAGTACTTCATCCTTTTTAATAACTGAATAATATTCCATTGTATGGATATGGATATATGACATTTTGTTTATCTGTTCATCAGCTGATGGACATTTGAGTTGTTTTCACTTTTTGGCTACTATGAATAATGCTGCTATGAACACTTGTACAAGTTTTTGTGTGAACATGTGTTTTCAATTCTCTTGGGTATATACTTAGTAGTGGAATTGCTGGGTCATATAACTTTATGTTTAACTTCTTGAGGAACTGCCAGAGTTTTCCAAAGAGGTTACATTACTTTACATTTCCACCAGCAACTTGTGAGGGTTTTGATTTCTCCATATCCTTGAGAAGATTTGTTACTGTACATCTTTTTGATTACAACCGTCCTAGTCAATGTGAAGTGGTATTTCATTGCGGTTTTGATTTGCATTTCTCTAATGACAAATTATATTGAGCATCTTTTCGTGTGTTTATTGGCCATTTGTATCTTTTCTTTGGAGAAAAGTCTATACAAACCTTTTGCCCATTTAAAAATTGGGCTATTTGTTTTTTTATTGTTGAGTTGTAAGAATTTTTTAATACTCGATATTAGACTCTTATGAGATATCAGACTATCTTTTTTGACTTTTAATTCTGATGAAATCCAATTTACCTATTTTTTTCTTTGGTTGCTTATGATTTAGGTGTCATATCTGAGAAACCATTGCCTAATCTAAGGTCACAAAGATTTATACTTAGGTTTTCTTCTAAGAGTTTTATAGTTTTAGCTCTTACACTGAGGTCTTTGATCCACTCTGAGTTAATTTTTGTGTATGGTGTGAGGTCGGGGTCCAATCCATTCTTTTGCATGTGGATATCCATTGTCCCAACACCATCTGTCAAAAAGACCACTCTTTCACCATTGAAGTTTCTTGGTATCCTTGTAGAAAATCAATTGACCATACACGTATGGGCTTACTTCTGGACTCTCAGTTCTATTCCATTAGTCTATGTATCTACCCTAATGCCAGTACCACACTCTCTTGATGATTACAGCTTTGTAGCAGCTTTGGAAATCAAAATGTGTGAGTCCTGTATCTTCTTTCTTCTTTTCAGAAAAAATTGTGTGTGTGGCTATTTTGGATCCTTTCCATTTCCATATGAATCTTAGGAAAAGCTTGTTTCTTTCTTCAAAAAACCAGCTTGGACTTTGACGAGGACTGTGTTGAATGTATAGATCAACCTGGGGAGTACTGCCATCTTAGCAATATTAAATATTCCAATCCATGAATGTAAGATATTAATCCATTTATTTATGTCTTAATTTCTTTAAATGATGTTTGAAGTTTTTAGTATATGTTTTAGTATATGTTTTCCATATGTTTAGTATATGTTTTAGTATTTTTTCTTTTTGATGCTATTATAAATGAAATTGTTTGCTTAATTTAATTTTTGGTTCATTGCTAGTGTACAGAAATGCAATCGATTCTTTATATGGATCTTGTATAAAATCTTGCTGAACTTGTTTATTGGCTAGAATGTGTTTTAAAAATTTTTTTAATTTAAAAAATTTTTTGGCCACGCAGTGCAGTTTGTGGGGTCTTAGTTCCCTGACCAGGTATTGAATCTGGGGCTAGCTACAGCAGTGAAAGTGCCAAGCCCTAACCACTGGACCACCAGGAAACTCCCTAGAATTTTTTTTTGTGTGTGTGTGTGGTTTCCTTAAGATCTGCTATATGCAGGGTTATGTCATCTGTGAAGAGAGGTAATTTTACTTCTTCCATTCCAAACCTGCATGCCTGTATTTACTTTTCTTGCCTAATTGTCCTGGTTAAAGCCTCTAGTATAATGTTAATAGAAGTAGTGAGACCCTTTGAATTCCTATATAAAATTTAGAATCAGTTACAAAATTTGGGGGGGTGTTGATAAGGACTTCATTAAATGTTTATTTGTGTACATGCATATATCAGTTTTGAGAGAAGGGATGTTCTTATTGCATCTTCTACCACACGAACATGGTATATCTCTTCATTTATTTGGGTCATTAACTTCTCTCAACGAAGTTCGATAATTTTCTACCTTCCCCATGGAGGTCCCTGAACATCTTCTGTTAAGATTTATTTCTAGGTATTTGATTTTTTTTGATACTCTTGTGGTAGGTAGAATAATGCCCCCCCCAACCCCCCAAAGATGACGACACTCTAATTCCTGGAACCTGTGAATATGTTACCTTCGTGGGAAAAGGGACTCTGCAGATGTGATTAAGTTAAAGACCTAAAGGTAGACTAATTATACAGGTAAACCCAATGTATAATCACATGTGTTCGTAAAAGCAAAGAGCTTTCCCCAGCTGTGGGCAGAGAAATGTGGCTTCAGAAAAACAGAGAGATGCAAAAAAGTTGCTAGCTTTGAAGATTAAGGAAGGCATCACCAGGTATGGATGGAATGTGGATGGCCTCTAGAAGCTGAAAAAGGCAAGGAAACCATTCTCTCCTAAAGCCTCCAACAAGGAACACAGTCCTGGTAACACACTAGTGAGACCCATGTTGATTTCTAACTTATAAAACTGTAAGATAATAGAATTTCTGTTGTTTCAAGTCACTAAGTTTGTGGTAATTTGTTATAGCAGCAATGGAAAACTAATACAAAGAGCAATTTTTAAAATTTCATTTTTTACTGTTAATATGATATGAATAAATTTTATTTTTATATGCTGATTATATCTAGTCAGTCTGCTAAACTATTATTCCTAATGATTTAGCTACAGATTTTTTAGGCTTTCTAAATATGTCATCATATCAAACATTCACAAGTGATTATTTTGTTCTCCCTATCCTATTATTGTACCTTTATTTCTTTTTAGTTCCCTTTTAAAGTCTCTAGGGACTTTAATACATTGTTGGATATCTGTGGTAACAGAATTATATCTCATACCTTATGTCAAAGGAAAAATTTAAAATATTTTTTAATGTTCCTGTACTAAGTGTGATATTTGCTATAGAGTTTTGATAGCTAAATGTTGTATCATTTGTAGCTATAATTTATCAAATTACTTTCTAGGAATTTTTATCATGAATGGATACTGAATTTTAACACGTCTCTTTTGCATTTATTGTGGTGGTGGTATGATTTTTCTCTTTAATCTGTTAATGTGGTGAACTACCAATTAACTTTTTAAAAAATAATAAATCAGCTTTGAATTCCTGGAACAATGCAAACTTGGTCTTGACATATCTGCATTGTGATTAGATCACACATTCTTAATTCTAATCCATTGGAATCTGTTGATTTTTTTAAAAAATCATCTAACATAATGTAAACTTAAAAAAAAACCCTAACTTTTTATAATGTAAGTTTCAAACATACAGGAAGGTAAAAAGAATTGTATAATAAACATCCATATATCCATGACCTAATTTTGGTAATAGATAACATTTTTTTTTTTTGCCATTTGACTGTGTCTGTATATATACAATTTTTGAATGGAATACTTAAAAATTTATTATAGAAATTGATATTTTACTCCAAAATACTTCAGTATTCATCTATAATTTCCCTACAAATATCAACAGAATACATTTTATGAACATTCTGTATGTGTTTGAAAATGTATATTCTGCAATGTTCTTCAGGTTTAAGTGCCTTCATTGTGTTGTTAATATCTTCTGTACCCTTGCAACCTATTTTTTATCTGCTGTTATATCTCAATCAATGGATATATTTTAGAAGTCCCCACTATGATTGAGAAATTGTCTCTTCTAGCAGTTATGTCCATATTTGTTTTTTATATATACTGAAGTCAAAATATTAGGTATACTTAATAATGCCTTAATGTTTACTCTTTCTGATATTAACATAGTCGTACCAGGCAGATGATTCATTTGCGTTTGTGCTTTTCTACCTTTTAAAATTTCAATCTTTCTGTGCTCTTATATTTTATTTTTTATTAAAAAAATTTTTTTTAACATCTTTATTGGAATATAATTGCTTTACAACGGTGTGTTAGTTTCTGCTTTATAACAAAGTGTATCAGCTATACATATACATATATCCTCATATCTCCTCCCTCTTGCGTATCCGTCCCACCCTCCCTATCCCACCCCTCTAGGTGGTCACAAAGCAAGGAGCTGATCTCCCTGTGCTATGCAGCTGCTTCCCACTAGCTATTTTACATTTGGTAGTATTTATCTCTTATATTTTAAATGAGTGTTCTGTGAGCAATATACTTATCCTTCTTTTAAAATTTAGTCTGATAGTCTCTATCTTTTAACTAGAATATTTATTCTACCTACATTTACTACGGTTATTTATATTTAAGTAAATCTACCATCCTTCATGTGCTTTCTAGTTATCTCACCTGTTTTGTGTTCTTTCTTCCCTCCTTTTGGAAGGACTGTGATCTTCCTGCTATTCATCAAGTTATGTACTACTTTTCTAGGTTACAGAGGTCACCCTAGAAATGACAAGAATCCTTAACTTATTAATGCTAATAGATCTTTTTACAAGTCTCTCAAAAAATGCAGGGATCTCAGATCACCTCAAATCCATTTACCCTTTCTAATTTCCTTGATTTTATGCAATATTTTGGATCACATTGTTTATTTATATGTGTATACACATACCACAAGACTTTGCTTTACAGTTTATAAAGATTTCAGTAATTATAATTATGCATGTATTTATTACTTTCTTTCCAAAGCATTGTCTCCTATATTTCTGACATTCCATCAGGATTATTTTCCCTCTATTTGAAGTACATCCTTTAGCATTCCCTTTAGTGTGATAGTGAGGCTTATTTGTTCACTTGTCTAAAATTCTCTCGTTCTTGAAGAATATTTTCTTTTCAGTATATAGTTCTAGATTAAGTACTATCTTCTGATAATAGGACGATAGAAGATCATCCTATTACCTTGGCTGTTGAGAACTCAGTCCATAACTTGTTAAAAGGTACCTATCATTTTTCTCTAGCCACTTGAAAGTTTTTCTTTGTTTTTGATGCACATTATTTTCATGTGACCTATCTAGCTGTGGATTTTTAAAAAATATCTTTCTTGGAATTAATTGGCTTCTTATGTGTGAATTGCTGTATTCTATCAATTCTGAAAAATTCCCAGCCGTATCTCTTTACATATTGATTCTTCTTCACATTCTTTCCTATCTCCTTCTTGAGAAGGTCTAACATATGTTAGCCCCTCTCACTGCAACTTCTATTTCCTTTATCTTCTCCTATGTATCTTACATCTTTTTGTTTCTCTGTGCTACATTCTGGACGTTTTATTTTGACCTACGTTTAAGTTATGTAATTCTTTCTTCAGTTGTGTCTAATTTGTGGTTAAATTCATCCACTAAGCTTTTAATCTTGGTTTCTGAACCTTTCATTTCTAGAATTTCATTTTAGTCTTTTACACATTTGTTGTATTGATTTTATAGTTTTCAGTTACCTGATAAAATGTTCAGGCATGGTATTGATACTTATCCTCTTGAACATAATATGAATAATTATTTTATAGTCTGTGTCTGATGACTCCAATATTTGAAGTACCTGTGATTCTGCTTTGGCTTTTTCTGTTTTGTTGATCATGGTGTTGATTCCTAGTATTCCAGATTACCTGACTACATATTTGAAAAACTATTTCTAAAAATGATATGAGGACTCTGAATATGTTATCTTTCTTTAGAGAACATTTTCATTGGAATCTGCCAGTTGCTGGGGACTTTAGCAGTTTGAAAAAATCTTAATTGAAGTTGAAAGTTTTCTGGGCCACTCAGATCATCTCAGGCTGAGCTGAAAGTCTGTGTGTCTGTATGTGCTGATTTACTTCCAGTTCACCTTTACTCTTAAGCTGTGGCCCTTTGGGGTCTTTGCAAAGAGAAAGAGTTATTTATCAGGGTTCCCATCTTAGCCAATTCTGGGAGCCTACCTTGCTAGTCCTAATACAGTTTAGAATCTCAGCTTGCTGCTTTAGATTAGCAAAGTACTCCAGGGTAAAAGTGGCCTCAGGTTGCCACGCTCACCACCTTTCCCCACGGATACTGTCTCCACTATACTGTCTCCACTATATATTAGCTCTTCGATGTTTTCGAGAAGTAAAAAATGTATATATGTTTGAATTTTGTATAACTTTGTCTATTAACCTCAGTAAGAATGTTATTCTAAAATATCCGTCCCCCCCGTGACTTGAAGAACAGTCTTCATTTTTTAAATGAATTAAAACTGACCAATCCTCATTACCCAGATGACTGAACAATCATTTGGGTAAGTTTTTAAAATGAACTTGCACTACACACTTACTTGCTGGTATTTAATCTTACAGTCTTTCTAGTCAACCAAACAGAAAAGGGAAATTCTAAAATATTCTAGCAAAAAATAAAGAATAAAAGAAAATAAAAATTCAAGGATAGCTAAGAGCTCCTATTTGAAAGAAAGGTCAGACATTCATTGATTCATTAGTTCATTCAAGGACCAATTTCTGATTTGTGCCAATTCTATGGAAGGTAGTAGATGAACCAGATTTTATATTTTAAATAACCTTCTAAGTGCAATGAGACTAGTTCTGGAAGTTTTGTAAGATAAAATAAATGTTTAAGTAAAAACGTTTTCAAAGTTAAGGTCATCAACTAAAGTCAATTACAGAATTAAAATAATGTAGATCATATTTAATGAAAGTCAAAAAAATTTTTAAAATTATTCATTTAAAGCTGTGAATATTCCTTTTTAGTCACCTGAAGCCATTCCGATTTTGGTTTCCAGAGTAAACTGTTCCCCTGACTTGAGTTAGAATATGGCAGAATATAATTTTATGTATTTTGCAAAAACTTCGGTCTATCAATTGTTGTGACAGAGAGGAAAAAGGTGAACATAATTTATACATGTAAGAAAAATTTATATGGCTTGGATGTTTCTGTTTTATAGACATATTATCCAAATTAAATAAATCAACTTACATAGTTCTTCTCTATCAAGAGATTGTGCACCACCTCCAAACAAGCCTTTAAAGAATCCCCTGTTTGGTGCTTCAGGTGTTTCTACAGGAGTGAAGAGTTCACCCAACATTTCCTTTAAAATCAAAACAAATTGTAATTGTTAAAGCTTCAGGGACACTAAACTATAATTCACAAAACCATCACTGTAAACTCTTTAACTCAAACTTACATTACCTGTTGAGGTTCACAAACAATGAGTACCCTTCAAATGATCAGATCTAGAACATTCTGACTTGGTCAAACAGTAAGTTATTAAGACTAACTTGACTAAGAATAACTTGCTGCTTGCTACTTTGGCTAGATTACTTTTTTCACATTTTAAGCAAAGATGATATTCCTGCTTAAATTGTAAGGAGATTCCAATCTTAATGACGAAGTGTTCATATAACTCTTATCAGGAATTGGTAACTGGATTAATAACTAGGTCTTCTTAAATTAGAAAGAAGAAAATCTATTAGCAAGTTGGAAAGTCCAGTGTAATGATGATACACAGTCTTGGAATTATCCAAAATAGCTGAGTCAGAAAATTAGTAGTTTAGAAAGACACACATACTTCTTTTTTCATAAACAAATGCTGGGAAGAGAATTATGCCAACATAAACCTGGAATTTCAGAAATCTGGCAGGGAGATGGAAAGACTTCTTTTTATATTGTCAGAGTTTTCTGAAATTTTTGTCAATATTTTTCAGAGCACAGAAATGGTAAAAGTAAGTCAGGAGACAAGAAAAATTGCTGACATGTTACTGACTTTGTAGATAACACATAAAGAGGGAAGAGGAGTTTCTATAAAAAAAAAAAGGATGGTAGCAATATTATTTGCAAGGCAGTTTTGGGAAGCTTTAGAAGCAAAATAAAAGTATAGTGAGGCTTTGGGATTGCATTTCTGCCCATTAAAGAGAAGCAGCTATGATACAAAGGACAAGTACACCACTGGTTCCAGGTAGTTCTGTGGTATTCTGATATTACATTATTACAGTTGGAGCTAAAGTATGTATTTTTTAGAGTTTCTTCCTTAGGGCTGGGCTAAGAAAGTTAATAAAGGATGTCCAAAGATTTTACATTTAGGTATATCTGTACACATATATATATTTTTGGCCGCACCGCGCAGCTTGTGGGATCTTAGTTCCCCAACCAGGGATTGAACCCGGGCCCACGGCAGTGAGAGAACGGAGTCTTAACCGTTGAACCATGAGGGAATTCCCAGTATTATCCATATTAATGCTGTCTCTCCAACCAGATTATAAATGAAAGGAGATATATATTAACACTATACAACACAGAGTTTCATTTATAATGTTGAAGTGGACTGAAGGCTTTACATTTTCATTCTCTTCCTCTGGATTTCTATAAAGTGGAGTAAAAGTAGAACGAAAAACTTCCTGAAGTCAATAAATCAAACTTGCTAAAACCCACCATAGAATATACTAATACCTATTATTTAATTCAAATTTATATTAGCCTATATAAAGAAGATGATTTTAGGCATATTTCCAATCTTTTTTGTACTGTACTTCACAGATTCTAATTTAAACTGTATCTATTAAATTGATAAAACAAATGGCAAACAGCTACCATTTGAGTGTCTTTTATGCTAAATCAAGAGTAATATGACATATATATATATATATATATATATATATATATATATACAGTCACAGCATAAAAATGTTTTTTGAAATTTACCTCTCTTTAGAATTATGGTTTACAGCTCTCAACTTATTTGGTGTTTAATGAGCTTGCAATCTTACAAATGTAAAGTTAAGAAATTTAAAAATCCAAAGATTACAGTTATAAATCAAGAATCACTACAGTGTACTGGAATGAGTATAAACTTTGGAACCACGTGGACCTGGGTTTGACTCTCACCTCTGACTTTTACTTGCAGAGGAAGCTTAGGCAAATCAGTCTCCCAGGGAACTGGCTTCCTCAACTTTATAAAGAAGTGATAAAAATACTTACCTCTCGGGAATGTTACCAGGATTAAAGATAATGAAGATTATCTTTAATAAACTGAAGATAACATACAATTCCAAGATCAGACACTCAATGATGTATACACTAAATAGAAAAATCTCCTTTCACATAGGGATGAAACAAATTAGAAAATATGCAAGTCATTTATCATTAGATTAACATTGTGAATAGATATCTTTGAAGGAAGTGCCGCATAGCACAGGGAGATCAGCTAGGCGCTTTGTGACCGCCTGGAGGGGTGTGATAGGGAGGGTGGGAGGGAGGGAGATCCAAGAGGGAAGAGATATGGGAACATATGTGTATGTATAACTGATTCACTTTGTTATAAAGCAGAAACTAACACACCATTGTAAAGCAATTATACTCCAATAAAGATGTAAAAAAAAAAATTAGGTATTTCTTAATGAGTCTGCACTGTCTGCAGTTAGTATTAGGATTTGGGGAGAAGTATTGATGTTAAAAACGTACATATTTCAAGAATATAAAATAGTATCTATAGGTATTTTTTCACTTGTATCTAAATAAGGATTTTAATTACGATAAATTTATGCTTTAGAACACTTAACTTTAATGACTAATACATGTTGGTGAAATCGAAATAGATTTATACTATCTGTGATATTTCTCTACATCTAGTAATGGGAAACTGTATGTCTGAAACGATGTCTGGAACTTTTAAACTACTCTAAAATATGAATATATAGAAACAAGTATACTTGTTTGATGTTAGACAGTTGGATTTCATTTGTCATTTGTGTTTACAAGCTTAAGTGGTAAAATATAAGACTAATTTCATGAATGAGTCAATGTAAGTGCTTTGTTTGTCACTACTCTTTTTTCTTAAATTGAAGTACAGTTGATTTATAATATTAGTTTCAGATGTACAACAGAGTGATTAAATATTTGTATAGATTATACTCCATTTAAAGTTATTACAAAATATTGGCTATATTCTCTGTACTGTACAATATATCCTTAGAGCTTATTTATTTTATACATAGTTGTTTGTACCTCTTAATCCCTTATCCCTGTATTGTCCCTCCCTTCTTCCCTCTCCCCACCGGTAACCACTAGTTTGTTTTCTCTATCTGTGAGTCTGTTTCTGTTTTGTTATATTCATTCGTTTTATTTTTTAGATTCCACACATAAGTGATAATGTACAGTATGTTTTTCTCTGTCTGACTTATTTCACTTAGCACAATACCCTCCAGGTCCATATGTGTTGTTGCAACTGGAAAAATTTCATTCTTTTTTATGTTTAAGTAGTACTCCATTGTATGTGTGTGTGTGTATGTATGTGTGTATGTATGTATGCATGTATCTATCTATCTATCACATCTTCTTTATCCGTTCACCTGCTGATGGGACACTTAGGTTGCTTCCATATCTTGGCTGCTGTCAGAATGGCTATCATCAAAAAGCCTACAAATAAAAAATGATGGTAAGGGTGTGGAGGAGAGGAAACCATAGTGCACTCTTGGTGGGTATGTGAATTGGTGCAGCCACTATGGAAAACAGTATGGAAGTTCTTCAAAAAACTAAAAACAGAACTACCTTATGATCCAAAATTCCACTTTCTTCAGTATATATCTGAAGAAAATGAAAACACCAATATTCACAGCAGTATTATTTATAATAACTAAACTCTTTTTATTACATCAAATAATCACTGATTTTAATAACTTTCATTAAGAAAACTCTCTGTTATAAGAATATTGAGACTACATAAATATCTTCCAAGATAAGCACAGTAATAAATTTCAGTACTGCTGCATAATATATTCAAGGGAACCTAAACAGTTCAACTGTCATCGATTTTTTACAGTGAACACCTGGGGGTTTTGTTGATAAGTTACAATCTTGAGGTGCTTAGAACAGTTATTAACTTAATTGTTTAAACTGAATTAATCGGTATGTTCCACCTCTTTATGATTATGGTAAGTTTTATTTAAGTTTCACAGATAAATCAAGTCATCAATTTGAAAGACAACTTGTAAATTTTCCTTGTGTTTTCACTCAAGATATGGTTAGAATAATGCTGTAGAAAGAAATTTAAGTATTTCGATCCATAAGCATATACTTTTGACTAACTGCACTTTAATGCTAATAAAAAGTCCTGAAATCCATTAATTTTTAAAAATAGTTTTATTGAGGTAATTGAAATAAACTGCATATACTTAAAGTGTAAAAATTGCCAAGTTTTGACATACACATGTGCCGGTAAAATCATGACCACCATCAAGAAAGTGAATATCCATCACTTGCATTTCCTTGTGCCTCTCTGTAAAACCTTCTCTCAACCCCCTTCTCGACCTCCTATCTCTAAGTAACTGCCAATCTGCTTTCTCTCACCACAGATTAATTTGTATTTTCTTTAGTTTTATGTAAATAGAATCATACAATGTGTACACTTCTTTGCTTGGCTTATTTCACTCAGCATAACTGTTTTGAGATTCATCCGTGACAGTGAACGTTACCAACATTTCACTTTTTTATTGCTGAGTTGTATTCTACTGTATGGATATACTATAATTTGATCATGCATTCATCTGTTGATGGACACTTGGGTAACTTCCAGTTTCTGACTAGTACAAATAAAACAGCTATGAATATAAATTTACTTCTCTCTTGGGTTAAAAAACTAGGAGTAGAATGACTATGTCTTTCGTTCATTGATGTTTGACTTTTTACAAAACTGCTAAGCTGTTTTCCAAAGTGGTTGTATTGTTTTTGTTTTTTCATTCCTATCAGAAGTGTATTAGAGTTCTAGATTCTCTACATCCTTGTCAAAACTTAGCATGGTATTCTTTTTAATTTTAGCCTTTCTAGTAAGTGTTTAACAATATCTCATTGTGGTTTTACTTTGCAGTTCTCTAATGACTAATGATGTCAAGCATCTCTTCATGGTGAAGCATTTGTCCAAATATTTTGCCCATGTTTTTACTGAGTTGTCTGTCTTCTTTCTATTGAGCTTTAAGAGTTCTTTACATATTCTAGATACAGATCCTTTATCAGACACATTGCCAAGATTTTCTTCCAGTCTATGGATTATCTTTTTACTTCTTAAGTGTCTTTTGAAGAGCAGAAGTTTTAAATTTT